TTCCAAGCCCCATCCAGCCTGGCCTTGACCCCCTCCAGGGATGGGGCAATGTCTCTGTTCTCACCGTCCCGCTGGAGGTGCAGGTGAAGGCTGGCTTCCTGCAAGTCTGCACACCGCGGCAGAGCCCAGCTTCAGCCCGAGGGGCTGCTCCCCGAGCCCCCCTCCCACTGTATGGCCCCGGCCGCGGAAGCCGCAGGAAATGCTCGGGCGGTGATTGCAGCGGCGATGAGTTTGGGTGGCTCTGAGTCACCCGCAGGTGCTCCTGTGCTCACAGTTACTCACCGGCAGCCAGCAATGTAATCATCCTGCCCTACCTGGTCTGGAGATCCCATAGCTGCCCGCAGACACGCCAGATGCTCAGGGAGCGGAAAGCGACTTCCTCGGCTTCCTGAGTCCTCTCTCTTTTGCATTTCAGCCAGACCGACTCCTCCAGAACACCATCCCTACAGCCACAGCTGGGGGTCCCGGCTGGGGTGCATCTGCTCGGGAACACAAAAAGCACCGCGGAGGAAAAGAAGGAAAAGGAGAGAACACCTGCTGCTGCCACAATGGGGAAAAGCCAGGAGCTCCCCAAGGTGGATTTTCCCCTCTTGTCCATGCCCATCAGAAATAACGTGCGTTGAGGTCTAGGAAGTGCAGCAAATCCTGGGCGCTATAAATAGAAATTTGAGCAAAGAAAAAAAAAAAGCCATCTGGCTGTTCAGGCTTTTCCTCTGCAGCCAGAGCAGAGCCGTGCTGGCACATCCTTCCTTAGGATGCAGGAGGTCCGAGCGCTGTTCTCAGCTGGGATAGACCCCACAAGTCACTCTGGATTCCTTCACTTCCAGCCCAGAAGGGTGGGGGTACAGCCCCCCTCTCCGCAGCTGGTGCAGCCCCCCTGCTCTTGCCCAAAAATCCATCTGCACAGCCCTCAGACAAACCATCTACTTGTACACCAGAACAGAGACGGCAATTTTACAGCATCCTCTGACATGCCCCCTGCAACCAGCCTTAAGGGTTCCGGTGGGGTTTGGTTTTTTTTTGTTTTTTTTTTTTTTTTTTTGGAGGGGGGTTCAGCTGATGCCCTGGGCAGCCCAGCTCCGAATGCAGTAACCGCAGCACCTGCTTTGCAGAGGTGTTTCATGACAAAACCTCTTTTCCCCAGCCATAAATAAATTTCTATTTTTTTTTTAACTGGCTACAGAAAACTGTTTACAGAGAACTGAAAAAAAGAAAAAAAAAAAAAAAAAGGCTGAGTTCAATTAACCCCCCCATTTTTTGCGGCCCCCCAGCCAGTGAACGGGAGCAGTCCAGCTCATCAGCAGAGTTTGCATTCTGCTGCCGGCTTGTACCAGTGCACATGCTTTTATCGTACAGCCACTCCGGATTTCAGGATAAAACAGCACGAGGACCGAAGGCTGGGCTTTGGCCAAGCGCCTTTCCCGCCGGT